GTTGTTGTTGTTGTTGGTTTTTTTTTTAAGTTCAAGTAATCATTGTTGAAAATAAAAGACAATAAAAATAGTTCTCATTGTATTTAGCATTTGTATCTTATTGACACTAGAAGTTATCAAATAGTTTTTAAGCAATAAAAAATTTTCATTTGCTTTATTAACAATAAAAAGTGATTTTTAAAATTGCTCTTTTACTTAAATTTAGAAGGACCTAAGCACCGTAAGTTCCTTTTTGAAATGTAATTCAAAGAGTGAAAAGCTATACACTGAATGCTGTGCAACACTTAACAAGGTACCCACAGTGTGGTAACTAAGAATCACCACATACTGTAAATGACTGCCATAGTCAGGTTTACTACTGCTGGAATGAGACACATGACCAAAAGCAGCTTGGGGATAGAAGCCTTGAGTGGTTCACACTTCCACATCACTGAAGGAGGCCAGGGCAGGAGCTGACTGATTGATGCAGGGGCCTTAAAAGGGAGCTGCTTACTGGCTTGCTCAACCTGCTTTCTTACAGAAGAACCCAGGGACGACCAGCCCTGGGTTGGCCCCATCCACAATGGGGTGGGCCTTCCCCCATCAATCACTAATTAAGAAAAACGCCCTACATCCAGATCTTACAGAGACATTTTCTCAGTTGAGGCTCCCTCCTCTAGCCAGCACAGATTTACAACACTAAAATTCAGAGCATTATACCAAACGTTTAAATTGCCCTCAACAGTTCCCTTCTGGTGTCTATGATTCTCTGTGTGTGTGTGTGTGTGATACAGGAAGGGGAAATCTGTTCTTTTCCTTCCATCTTTATCTGGTGATCAAACCGAGGTGGTCAGGCTTGTGGTTCTGACAGCAGCAAACGCCTTTATCTGCTGAGCACCCTAACCAGCACAGCACTGTAGAATTTTTGACAATGTGTGACTGATGTGTATAGTAAGTTAGACTTTGCTAAAGAAAGTATTCAACAAGTATGCCAGAAGTTAGATATCTAACAAGGATTGCCCCAAAGCTCTTGGGAATCGCCTTCAGGTTCTGTAGCCTATCGTCTTCAGTGAGATCCTCATTCTTAATGCTGTAAACTACAATCTCAGGTCTTTAAGAAAAAAAGCTCTGAATGGGGTAGTAAGTGGACAAGTGGTGAGGGGGAGAAGGGAGTGGGAAAACGTAATTAAAGCAGTTCTCAAAATAGGAAAGCGCAGTGTCCCAAGAGTAGGAGAATTAAGTGGTTCCAGCACTCTTTCGTGAACTGCAGAGTCACGGGGTGAGTGCGCCAAGGGAATTCGCGTGGGCGATTTCAAACCACGCCCCTACAGACAACCTAGAAACTGGGGCTGCAGCAATGAGGGTCGCAAGGTTGCTGCGGAGAGCCAAGGTTCATCCGAGAGGAGGCCTGGGACTGGTCTTGGCGCTGGGGAAACGCAGGCTATTTGCCTGGCAACCAAGCCGAGAGAGGCGGCGGCGGCAGCGAAAAGAGCAGTTACTGTCCCATCTTTTGCAGTTCTGGCGATCAAAGTCACAGGCGCGACATAAGAAAGTAGAAAGCCCATGCTGACTGAGAACACCTAACATTTAAAAGCAGCCTAGTAATCGAGGCGTGGTAGCTGAGGCAGGAGACTCGCTCCAAGTTCAAGGCCATCGCAGGGTACCAGACTTTGCCTCAAATGATAGTGAGTAAATCCAGACAATGCCTGAGGCAACGTCAAGTAGGGACTGCAATCAGCCCGAGAGGAACAGGACCCTTCAAACTCAGCCGTGCCCGGGCAGCAGACGGAAACCGCCAAACGGCCACTGCTCAACGGGAACCCGAGTCAGCAGAGCCCAGGCGCGGCGCAGCCCCGCCCCCTGGGCCAGAGAGCTGCGCGTGCGCGCGCTGTCCCCGCCCCCCCCGCCCCGGCTCCGCCTCTCTCCTGCCCGCCAATCATCTCCTCCCTCCGGCCGTCGGCGCAAGAGCGCAGGCTCGCGCCTCTCGAGGCGCACTTCGGAACCCCGCACGTAGCGGGGTAAGGGCGCGGGCTGCTGCCGCTTGGAAGCGGGGAGGGAGAAGGGAAGAGGAAGGACCCCCATCCCCACCCTACCCCACCCCCAGACAGCCGAGGTCCCGGCTGGGAGCCGCCGGCCTGCAGACCGGCCGTGCGCAGGCGTCGTAGGAGGGAGGCCTGTCCGCCGTAGCCAATGAGCGTGGGCCCTGCAGGCCTGCCCACCTGCCCGGCTCAGGGTGACCCGGGCCTGTGCAGCCCGGAGGCAGTGGGCGAGGCCTCCGGGTAGGAGCCGGGAAAGCCTGGAGGCTGGTGGGGCCCTGGGAGGAGGAGCTCTACCCCAAGCTGTCAGCCAAGTTGCAGGCCCACCGATTCAGCTCTAGACCTGTAACCAGGCTACTGGCTAAGTAGACTCCCTGAGGGGAGGTGGGGAGGGGGTAGTCCTCGGGGACGGTGCACTGCCCCACTAAGGAGCTTGACGGCTTTGCTAATTCAAGAAGGCTGCGCAGTCTGTGTGGGGATGGGTTTTAAGGGTGTAGGGTAATGGTGAAAGGCGGCTAGACCAGGCGGAGTTTTTCAGTGTGGGACTACTGGAGAGTCCAGGTTTAATATAGAGCTTATATAGTATTTAAAAAAAAAAAAAAAAAAGAAGGCGTCAAAAGGTTGGTTGGTTGGTTGGCTGAAGCATTTATGTAAGATGGCCTGAAGAGGACCTGGAGATGCCTGATATCCCTTTGTTTAGTGTTGAGGGAGGGATTTTTAACCTCAGGGAAATTGGAACGCTAGATCGAGTACACTACTAGATTGAGTAACCTACTCCCCCCCTCCCCCATGGAAAGACCCAAAAGACCTGCACTAACCCTGTAGGATGCAGTCGCTTTGAGGGACAACAGAGCATTTGAAGAACTTTTGCCGTAACTCTCTTTCTTGTGCCAGATCTTAGGGTTGGAGACCGACGCTCAACTGGATGAATTAAATTTCACTGGGTTTCTTTGGACGGTGGAGTAGCATCAGGACCTGTATATTGGTGAGGCTGGACCTGAAGTGCCTGTATCCTTCTTGAAATGAATCGTTTCCAACTGTGGATTTTTTTTTTTTCCCTGTGCCTCAGACTTTCAAGAAGCAACTATGATTTAACTCTCCAGCAAGAGATATAAAAGGGAAGCCAAAATACTTGTTAGCCATTGATTGATCTAATACTGTTTCCTGATTTTGATCTTGTTGGTGCTTTTTACTAAGTAGAAAGCCTAAAAGCAATGGGGGGAAAAATGATCTCTGGGTGAGAGGGTGCATACTTTTATCCCCAGCGCTCCAAAGGCAGAAGTAGGTGAATCTCTATGAGTTGGATGCTAGCCTGGTCTACATAGTGAGCTCCAGGCTAGCCAGGTCTACAGAGTGAGATCCTGCCTACAAAAACAGCCAGGTAGTGTGGTGCATGCCTTTAATCCGGGCACTCAGGAGGCAGAGGCAGAGGTAGATGTCTGTGAGTTCAAAGCCAGCCTAGTCTACAGAGTGAGTACCAGGACAGTCAGGGCTGTTAAAGGGAGAAACCCTGCCTCAAAAAGCCAAAAAACAAAAGAGAGAGAGAGATGCATGGTTTTATCACTACTTGAGAGAACAAATTTCTTCTAAAACCTCACAAGATAGTTACAAAGGGTAGTTAACATACTACTAAAGAGAGAGTAGTGTGAGGTTAACTTAGTTACAATAAATTACTTTCAAACACAAATTGTGCCCGGAGGCCAAAGCTCAATCTTGAAGACCTCTGTTCTGACAATTTCCGTACTTGTCAAAAGATAATAGCCAGAGGCAGTTGGGTCTACACAGCAAGTTCCAGGCCCTGAGCTACATAGAGAGTTGCATACCTCGGGTGAATCTGGACCTTCCACCTGTACCTCCTGTGCACACAGGAGAGACCATTTCCTTGGGCCAGGGCTTTCCAGGGTGTCTTCCCATAGGTGTAGCCCCAGGAAGTCTCCTGTTACTCTGCAAGTCTGAATCACTGCATTTGCTGTTTTGTTTTATGGCCATGTGCTTGTGTCTTCGCCCTTACACTGTAAGCTTAGTGTGAACAGCAAATGTCTTCAGGCCTTTTCAGTTAGTGCTCTGCCCTGGACCTAACACGGTAAACCATTGACTTAAAGAATCAGAGTGCTGGTTACACAGGGAGTGAGTGTCTTTAGCTGCTCGGAAGGGGACATGAGTCATGAGACTTTGTCTGAAGGCAGACTCCTGTGGCTGATGTAGCTGGCGTCACCGGCCTGCCGAAGCACCCAGCCTGTGTCTGAAATGGCGTGTCTTTGGCCTGCTGTTAGCTGTCTGCAGCAACAGAAGACACTACCTCTTGCAGCTTGACGCCTGTACAGGCTGACTTCTTTGGGAGATTTTACTCAGTTGAAGCTGAGGTCTTGATTTACACTGCAGAAAAGGAGTTTCAGGATGATACAGTGTGAAGACAGGTTAGAGTTTATTAAGAGTGTTTTGATTTAAGAGAAAACGTCTCTCCACAAAGGTAATAGTAATAAGAAGTTCATATCAAATATGAGTCACCCGTGGCCCGGGGAAGAAGATGGATTCATTTCTCTCGGAATAATGCATTCCAGTGTAGGAGCAGTTACATGGGCTTTTAGTCACAGAACAAAAGAAAGCCGTAAATAGCCGGTGTCACCACCTGAGAAGGTTGTGGAACCTTTAGGAGGTGGGGCCTTGTTGGAAGAAGTAGCAGAGCCATGAGGCTTTCACAGTCCACCACACACACACACACACACACACACACACACACACACACACACACACCCCTCCTGTTCTCTTTCTGATCCCGCCTGCCTCCGTGCCCTCCCTCCCTGCCTAGCAGCGCTATGTCTTACTTGGCGAGGGACTGTGTCACCTCCTGGAACCATGAGCCAAAATAAACTCTCCCCTATGTTACTTTTGCTGCTGCATTTCATCACAGCCACAAAAAAATAACTAAAACACGCCCTCACACGTGTAGTTTATACATACTCTATTAGGTTGATAGCTAAGCATTTCACTTTGAGGATAGTAGCAAAATGGTAACATCTCAAATTGAACCTCATTTTACCTATTCAGTTTTTCTGTTTGCTTGTTAATCTGTTAGGCAATTGATGGATGCTTGGAAGTTGGCGTGCACACTCAGAAATGTTTTGCCACCTGAAGCCTTTGAGGAGGTAAGCTCTGTGACCCACTCTGTGTTTGTTTAGGGGAAGGTCTGTTATGTATTGAGATAACTTCACCTTGTTTTTCAGATCCCAAAACTGTCTTACGGTTTTAGGCAGTAACAACAACAACAAATAAGAAAGAAAATTCATACGAGCAGCCAAATTATCTAAGGCTCTATTCAGAGCAGGAGATAACAGATTCTAACGGAGTAGCTCTGTAAGAAAGATTAGAAGGAAAAAGCACAGTATTGCGTCCCCTAGCTGTAGGGCACACAGCTCAATGTTTTAGAGTTAAAAGAGAATGACTGTAATTAGAACACAAATTCCTCCTCCTGGTGCATAGGAGATGTGCAGCAATTCTATAAATAAGTATAACTTGGATAGGTGGAAGGAAGATCATTAGGGCTTGGCTCCCTTCTGAAAGTTCTGTGGAAGGGATAGGTGACACAGAGTCTCGAATAGACCAGGCTGGCCTTACATCCCTTGCGTAGTCATGGCTAAGCCTTGAATTCCTGAACATACCTCTCCCACCCTCCTGGAATCACAAGACCTGTGCCGCCACACTCAGCTCACCTTCTATAAGGAGTATTTGAGAGTGAGTTGGAAGGACTGATAAAGAAATAATTACTGAGGCTTATAAATATAAGCCTCGGAAATGGATCTTAATCGTGTAGGAACTGTGGAAGCCATCAAAAGTGTTGGTGTAAGCAATACAGAAGCACGCAGCATGGTTTGGGGAAAGGCAGACAAGTAGGCTTGGGAGGAGACTGCCCACACTGCTTCAGTGATGGCAGTCCAGTAGCAGAGAAAGTATCAGTTCTAGAGTCTCTATCCTTAACAGTTTAAAACACTTCCAAAAACTCAGCACACCTGATAGATTACCAAAGCATGCCCAGTGCTTAGAGACTTCTTTTTAGAATAATTATAATGGAAAATGTAAATTGCACTATGGAATTGCTTCCCAAGAATCAAAAGCTATTTCCTCCGAGCTCAGAAATATAGAGTTATTTCCACCAAGGAAAATGAAAAGTACTTTAAGAACATTCCAGACAGCTTGGGGCACAATTTAAGATTGAGAATGTCGAGTTGTCTGAATGGAATGTATTTCCACTCTGGTAATGAGGAACCTAAAGGACATCTTCCTCTCTGTGCTGAGGGATAAGTACATTGCTGTAAATTAAGGGATAAAACAGAACTTCAAGGAAGACAATGCCATCTCCAGTGATGGGGAAATTATCACTCTGCACCAGAGGAGCTTAGAACCGCTGTTAAGAAACCACACAGACTACAGCAAATGAGTTTCTGTACTGTTGGCTCTGGGCTTTCTTGCCTTGATACTTTTCTTCGGTTGGCTGTCACCTGCGTGGTAGACTCATGCGTGTCCCAGAGAATAATCCGTGTGTCTGACAGGTTCTGCCTGAAGAAGACCCTCCCTCACTGGCTTAACTACTCTCGAGCTCTATCAGGAGCAGAAGCCATCAATGCCTTGAGGCCTTTCTACTTTGCAGTTCATCCCGATTTCTTTGGACAGCACCCCAGAGAAAGGGTAAACACTTAACTCTTTAACTTGTTGTCTATATGTCTAGTTGATTTACCTTTGACCCAGTATAATGCAGAAAGTTCTGTTAAGTTCCAGTTATTCAGTCATGGTAATGTTTTACACGGAAGCAATACTAACTTGAAAAATAATGAAGTTTCAAGTTAGTAAATTTAGTAAATATTTGTAATGTTAGAAATTGAAACCATTGTTTATTCAAAGCTGTCATTGTTTATATAAAGAGAGTTGCCACGTAAATAAATTGAAGGGTATGCTATTCATGTTTTCTGTACTCGTTTTGGAGTGAAATGGAAGGCTTGAGGGAGAGGCCTTTCTTGTACGGATGCCAGGGCAGATCTCCGGGGCCTGGAGATGTCCCTCACGCTGTGTGCTCCTGGGCTGGTGCTGCCTGCCCTCTGCTCAGGGAGAACAAACTGACAGTGACGTCAGATAATGTAGCAGAGCTGACAGTTATCTTATTGGTCCCTGATTTAACTGAAGCAGTAAGCCCCGGGCACCAGGCTCGAGGGAACCTCCCTGCGTGGTAGCACATTGCTGTGCACCAGTCACCGCTGGGGATGAGGACCCAGCCGTGGATCCACGCTGTGCGGCAGCCAAGGCTTGCCCTCTGCCCTCTGCCCCTGTACACGGCCAGCCGTCCTAGTTCAGTGAATGCTAGCAGGCCCTGGACCTCAGTGGCCTTGGGGCCTCGCACTCCTGGTGTCCATGTGTTTTCTCCTTCGGCCTCTGTGCTCTTAGCCCTTACTGTTTGCAGAGGCTTTGTGCTCGCTGACCTCTCAGCATGGACTGTCCTTGTAGATAGATATCCCAGAGATGGCTTTTCTCTTCCTCTCAGTGAGCCTCTCCCAGGCTACCTTCCTTTCCAGTGTCAGTATTATCTCTGTTTCTGTTTTCCTTCCCATGTGCCCTATCTTATTTATTTAGGTTTATTATTTATCTCTTGCCATCAGTGAAATGCAGGCTCCATGAAGGCTTCTAATGTAACAACCATTACCCACTCATCTTAGACTCTTCCTTGGCTCACCAAGAACTTGCTCCTCTGCTGAGGACAGGCTCAAGCTCCAAGTGCTTACAGCATCCTACCCCAAATGCAGGATTTCCCACTGGGGCCCACTGGTGTGGTTCTTTTCCTTTTAATACTCTTAATTTTAAAGTATGTGATACTAATAGATCACAGAATTCACATCTAAATATAAAGTTCACTTAAAAATCTCAGTCTGGTCCCTATTTCCTTTACCCTATTCCTATTCACTTCTTATAGATCTTTGCTTTTATTAACTTCTGAGTTCCGTTGTTTCTTTTGACAAAGACGAACGCATCAAAAGTAACTTTGAAGATTTCAGTTTTATTTTGGGTAGAGGGGATTTTTTGGTTTGTAGCACCAAGATCCAGCCCATTTGCTTTGTTTTGTTTTTGTTTTTTGAGAATGTCTCACTGTGTAACTCAAGTTGACCTCAGACTTGCTATGAATTCCACACTGGATTGAAACTGACAATTGCCTTGCCTCAGACTCACAGCGATTGGTGTTAGATGAGAGAGTAATCTCGCTGTGATGTGTATCACACCATAGATGACCTGGAGGGTTAGGCAGATCTGGAGGGTTCCACTTTGTGCACGACCCTCCAGGTGGACGGTCCTGTGCTCAGGTGTGCCTATGCGGGGACCCCCAAAGCATGTCATATAATAAGTTTTAGAAACAGAATGCAAGGTGATTTCTACTCTCAAAATATCCTGTTAAAGAAGAGAGATTTAAATTATCAAAAGCAGTTGTTATTACCAATTATGCACACCTTTAATCCCAGCAGGGCTTCATAATGAGACCTTGTCTCAAAGACGGCAATAAATAAATAAATAAATAAATACATACATAAATACATAAATAAATAAATAAGGCCCAGCAGTTGTTAGTAATCCAGGCGTGGGAATATGCAGCTTTACAGCACTCCTGAAACTCAGGCAGATAGGCCTCAAATTCAACTTCAAGGGCGTCCTAGGCCTAATAGACTTAATAATAAAGCCAACTATCACATGCACAAAACACATGTGCCCACTTGCATGCATGCACACGCACACACTCTTACTCCTAAGTGATGAAGGAGTCCAGCCACCTTCTACCCTGATGCTTTACACGGCTATATGTTGTGTCTTACCTCCAGTGATTATTCTTTTACCAGACAGCTGTGAAATATCAACATTTCTTTAAGTTATATTTGGGGTGTCTGTGTGTGTGTGTGTGTGTGTGTGTGTGTGTGTGTCTATGTGTGTGTCTGTGTGTATCTGTATGTGTGTGTGTATCTGTGTGTGTTTCTGAGTCTGTGTCTGTGTATGTCTGTGTGTGTGTGTGTCTGTGTATCTCTGTGTGTGTGTGTGTCTGTGTATCTCTGTGTGTGTGTGTGTGTGTCTGTGTATGTCTGTGTGTGTATGTGTGTGTGTATCTGTGTGTGTGTGTGTGTCTGTGTATGTCTGTGTGTGTGTGTATGTGTGTATGTATGTGTGTATGTCTGTGTGTGTGTGTGTATCTGTGTGTGTGTGTGTATGTCTGTGTGTATCTCTGTGTGTGTGTGTGTGTGTATGTATGTGTGTGTGTGTGTGTATCTCTGTGTGTGTATGTATGTGTATGTGTATCTGTGTGTGTGTGTGTATCTCTGTGTGTGTGTGTATCTCTGTGTGTGTGTGTATCTCTGTGTGTGTGTGTGTGTATCTCTGTGTGTGTGTGTATCTCTGTGTGTGTGTGTATGTATGTGTGTGTGTGTGTGTATCTCTGTGTGTGTGTGTGTATGTGTATCTGTGTGTGTGTGTGTATCTCTGTGTGTGTGTGTGTATGTGTGTGTGTGTGTATGTCTGTGTGTGTGTGTGTATCTGTGTGTGTGTGTGTATATCTGTGTGTGTGTGTGTGTCTGCATCTGCGTCTGGGTAAGTACAGGTGTCCATGGAGGCCAGAAAAGGGCACTGGATCCCTGGGGCTGTAGTTGCAGGTGGATGTGAGCTGCCATGCGGATGCTGGGAACTAAACCCAGATCCTGTGCAGGATCAGTCAGTGCTCTGGACTTTTAAGCCATCCTTCCAGCTCTCAACCATGTTTTGTTTTGTTTTGTTTTTTCCCCTTTTACTTAAAGACAAGATCTCATTGTATAGCCCTGGCTGGCCTGGAACTCACTATCTAGGTCACTATATAGGCTGACCTTGAACTCAGATCTGATTGCTTCTGCCTCCAAGTGCTGGATTTAAGAACAAGTGCCACTATGCCAGATTCCCTCAACATTTTTTTAAACAGTAAATTACTTAATATCTTCAATATATTTAAAGACCACAAATAATTTCATCTTTCTTTATTCACATGTAAATACCCATATTGGTTTTTCCCCCTCTAGGAAATCAATGAAAATTCTCTTAAGAGATTAAGTGTCTACTTAGAAAATCTCCAGAAACCAGGCTTCAAGTCTCTGAAACCAACTCAGCTTACATTTTACATAAGAGAAAAAACGGCCCAGAACTCCTCTGAAGGCCAGGAGCCTGTCAGTACTTCCGGTATGTTGTTTTATTTCTATTGTGTCCCTTGCAAGCTTCATATGAAATATGTTCATTAATTCTGACATTGCCAGAATACCTTTGGCTTAAAGCCTTGATTGTTGATAAGTATCATATAATTGTTTTGCTTTAAAGCCTTGATTGTCAGTAAGTATCATATAATTGTTTTCCTAGCATTAGATTCCCAGCTGCATATGTTTAAACATTTTTTTTTCCTGAAGTATTCCAGCTAAATGTTCATGCCTTTAATCCCAGTATTTGGGAGGCAGAGGCAGGTGGATCTCTGAGTTTGAAGTATACATAGTGAGTTCTAGGCCAGCCATGATGGTGTATAGCCACACTATATAGTGAGACCCTATATCAAAACAACAAAAAACCTGAAGTATTCATATTACGGCCTTCCAAATTTAGTGTTGGTCTGAGTGTTAGGAATGTCTGTTACATTCACACTGAAATCTACCATGTTCCTTCTCTTATTGTCCCTGTGAGGGTAGAAATGTTTAACTCTTTGTGACCTAGTGACATCCATCCTACTTTCAAAGACTGCAGAGACAGAGTAAGGTCTTGAACTCAGGTCTCTCAGCTTCTGCCTGATGTTGTTTGTACACAGAATCTATTGCCTGCTTTCACTGATTCCATCAGGATGCAGTAAGGTTGACCAGTAGGACCTAGCTGCGGGTGCAGCCCTATAACCTCCATTCTTGGGATGCTGATACAAGCAGACTGTGAGTTTGAAGCTAGATCCTGTCTCAAAAACAGACACACACACACACACACACACACACACACACACACACACACAAATTGTGACGAGCTGGATAAGTTAGTTTGCCTGTATTCCTAGCATTCGGGAGGCTAAAGCAGGAGATTCTACCAGTTGGAGGCTAGCCTGGACTACTTGATTATGGAGATAAAAGTTGCAGATTCTTTTTCTTAGTAGTTTCTCCTCCGTCTGACTTTGGGTTTTATTCAAAGCAGCCAGGAACAATAGCAGCATGGTGGGGGGGGGGGGGGTCCCAAGACAGGAAGACTGTGAGTTCCAAACCAGCCTGGTTACAGAACAAAAAAGATCATTAATGTTCTTAGCTACAAGAGTTCCCTGAGGTCTGTTGTTTACCATAGTCCTGGCTGGTTTTTTTGTTGGCTTTCACAAGCTAGAGTCATCAGAGGAAGGAGCCTCAGCTGAGGAAAGGCCTCCATGCAATTTCTCAATTAGTGATCAATGGGGGGGTCCCTGGGCTGCTGGTCCTGAGTTCTCTATAAGAAAGCAGGTTGAGCAAGCCAGGGGGAGCAAGCCAGTAAACAGCTCCCCTCTATGACCTCTGCATCAGCTCCTGCCTCCAGGTTCCCGCCCTGCTTGAGTTCCTGCCCTGACTTCCCTCAGTGATGAACTGTGATGTAGACGTGTAAGCGAAATAAATAAACCCTTTCCTCTCCAACTTGCTTTTTGGTCATGGTATTTTGTAGAAATCCTAACTAAAGCAACCAGTGCCAGACCATATGTTCTTACTGCTTAATAGTCAGTGTTCCTGTCACTCAGCACCAGGGTAAAGCTGGAGCTACCGAATCCTACTGATACTTGATGACCAACCTTGACTTCATGATTTCTCCCAGACACACATGGCATTTATAAGGCAAATTTCACCTTTTCTAGTTGTTCATATAAAATAGTCTCACTGTTTTGTTTTCTGTTGTTAGATGAATCTTATTTTTGCTTCTGTCTTTATGACAAAGATTGACAGGGACAAAAGATTTGAAACTGTATTTCTTTAGGGTTTTTATTTTTAATTTTTTTTTCCAGAAGTGTGAGCACACCAGTCAAGTCCTGACAGTAACACACGGCAGCATAATGCAAGTCATTTCCATCAGAGCATAAGACTAACGTGCAGGTTGCTGTGCCTCCCAAAGTGCTGGGATTACAAGTGTGTATAACCTACTGGGCAGTGGTGCACACCTTTGACCCCAGCACTCAGGAGGCAGAGGCAGGTGGATCTCTGAGTTTGAGGCCAGCCTGATCTACAGAGTGAGTTCCAGGACAGCCAGGGCTGCACAGAAAAACTCTGTTTCGAAGAAAAAGAAAAAGTAAAAAACAGTTTCCCAGCTTTCTTTATCTTTTATCTGCTTATTAGAGTGTACAGTGGCGCCACTGAACTAGACCACGCTGTGAGCAAAAGGAGAGGCTTTATGGGGATCGGATTGTCAGGGCTGTCTCTGGTGTGCAGGGTGCAGAGAGAAGCAAAGCGGTGGAAAGCCAAAGCCAAGAGCATGTTATATGCGACAGCAGAGTCCGGGCTCTAACCCAATGCAGGCTGTTCAGATAAGATGGGAATGGACGCCCTTGCCCAAGGAGGTCCTGGTAAACAGAAAGCTGCTTTGAGAGAGTCATCTTACCCAATAACAGCCTTCTCTTTATCCAGTCAGTGTCCTCCTGGTTAGGGCATTGGCATCAACACTGCCATTTTGGAAGACCACTTTGAACCCAACACAAAATTAAAATTAAATTGTTCTTTGTGTACCATACCTGGCTGTCCTTGCTTTGTAGACCAGGTTGGCCTTGAACTCACACAGGTCATCCTACCTCTGTCTCCCCAGTGCTGGGATTAAAGGCTTGTGCCACGATGCCTGACAAAAGTGTTGGTTTTTATTACTGAATTTGCATTAGCAGGTTGACATTACTAAGAGACTGACTATCTTTATTCATGCATATACAATGCATTTTGGTCCTTTTCAACCCCTTGTCCTCGATCCTACTCCCTGACTTCTCAACCAGCCCCTCTCTCCTTTCAAGTCTTCCTCCTTATTGCTTTATTAGGGTATTTTGTTTTGTTTCCATGACAATACATTGATTTTGTTTGCTGTTTTGGGGTTTTTTGTTTGTTTTTTGAGTAGGGTTTTTTCTGTGTAGTCCTATAAATCCTTGAACTAGCTCTGTAAACCAGGCTGGCCTCAAACTCACAGAGATCCACCTGCCTCTGCCTCCCAAGTGCTGGGATTAAAGCCATCTGCCACCAACTGCCCGGCTAATACATTCTTAAAGACCTAAATCATTTCTCCAACTCTAGGTTTATTTTGGCAGTTCAAGAGGAAGTGAACTGTATTATCAGAATAAGCATTAGAACAAAATAGAATTCACCAAAAACTTTTGTGAATTAATCTTTAATTAATTAGCTATAGCCAGCCCTGGCTGAACAAATCTAAAAATCCTCTACTGTCAGCTAATAGTTAATTGAGAACTATTCATTAGCAAGAACAGGTGAAGAGACAAATTGTAATTGAAAGAAAGCTTGATTTTTTTAAAGGTAGTATTAATATGTAAAGCATTTTTATATACCAGAAGAAATCAGAATATCTCCCTTACGAAATGGCCCCTTGGATAACAGTTAAAAAAAGCAAACTGAAGGGATCGGATCCTGTTCTCCCTACTGCTCACCTTTTCACGCTGATAATGTCGGCACATAATAGAGTGCTCTGCAAACCAAGCATGGTGGCCCACATCTCCCCTCCCACACTGGGAAGCAGAGGCAGGAGGATCTGATGATCGCTATGTAGGCAAGCCTGGCCTACATAGTGAGTTCCAAATCAGGGCCACATAGTGAGACCCTGTTCCTCAAAAAGAATAAGGAAGAGGCCAGGTGTTTACCTCTCCCAGAAGCTAGAATTACAAGCCTGTACCACCATGACCAGCTTAGTTTTAAGTATTTTGGTTGTGAATATCCACATGTTCATGGTTAGTACATATTTAATACGTGTTGTTTGAAGACTATGTACCAGCTGTTAACAGTGGTTATATATAATAAAGGTATGAGATTATATGCCTGTTAGTAGACTTTTACTCATGTGTGCACGTGTGAAACTTTACCATGAGTATGTGCTTACAGAGTATTTATAGCCCAAAGTCATAGCACACACCCAGCACTCTGGAAGCAGAGGCAGGCATATATCTGTAGTTTGAGGCCAGCTAGGGCTACATAGTGAGACCTTGTCTAAATAAAACAATAATACTTAGTAGAATTTTAAAACCTAGGGCCTTGGGGCTGGAGAAACGGCTTAGCTGTGAATAGCACTGACAACTCTTCCAGAGGACCCTGGTTCAGATCCCAGCACCCACATGGCAGCTCACAACTGTCTGTAACTTGAAGATCTGACACCCTCACACAGACATGCATGCGAAGGAAAACCCTGATGCACATGAAATAATAAAAATAAGTTAAAAAAAAAAAACCTAAGGTCTCATGTGTTCTAGACAAGAACTCTACCACTGAACTATATTTCCAGCTCCCTTGTGTAATTTTCAAACTACTTTTAAAAATTGGAGATTAGGCCTGGAGAGATGGTTCAGTGGTTAGTGGTTAAGAGCAGTTAGTGCTCGTATCTGCTGAGCCATTTCTCCAGCCCCTGAATAAAATGGGGTTTTGCTGTTGTCGCTGTTTATTTGGAGATAGCTTCTGTGACCAACAACACTGGGTAGATACAGCCTGGGCCTTTCTCTAGCATGCACTGTCAATGCAGGTGTCCCCATGCTCCCTCCTCTCAGCTAGAACTGTGGTGGGCATGGAAGCACTTCCCTCGCCTTAGTGCCAGGACTCATGGGCAGCACTGGGAAATAGTCTCCATCCCCTCCTCAGCTAGGGTGAGGAGAAAGGAATCCATGAGGATTGAAAATACTGCTGGAGAGTTTGAAGGAGGAAGTCATTTTCCATTTGCTGGGGCGAATTTTTACGGGTAATAAAATGTTCTTAAAGATTTTTAATTTTGTAATTGTTTCATGAGAAATGATTCTAAGGTAAAACAAGTAATCGTCTGTATTAATTGTTTGGGGAATTATATTCTCTAGGATTTCGAGCAGTCAGATTTACTTTGCACACCAGCGATCTGCTAAGCACAGTATTGTATATTCTCAACTCCTGCAGTTTGTCTGCTGAACACATCCAAAGCTTGAACACTAATGTGCATTCCCAGCCTCTCAAAGACACTACAGGGATGCCTGACAGACCCATCAAATGGCATAGGTCCTATTATTCCTTTACTGGGTTCAAAGACCCTGACGAAGACCTTGAACACGTCTCAAGAGTGGAAACAACCCTCCTGTAAGTGAAAGCCTCTCGTAGTTTATGTTTAAATGTAGTTCTGATTTTTACAGGAAAAGAAATCTTAGTAATATATTTGATATGGAAACCATGAGAAAAAATATTTTATGTTTCTTGCTTAAAGTTGCAAAAACACTTCCATTTTTTGTTATTGTTTAATACCAGAAACATGCAAAAGATTTAAGTTTTTCCGGTTTTTTTTAATAATTTATGTAACTTTATATGCATTGGTATGAAGGTGTCAGATCCCCTGCAATTGGATTTACAGATAGTTGTGAGCTGCCATGTGGGTGCTAGGAATTGAACTGGGTCCTCTGGAAGAGCAGCCAGTGCTCTTAACCCCTGAGACATCTCTCCAGCCCCAAGCTTTACGTTTTTTAAATCAATTCTTTACACATTGGGCATTTCTAGTCTACTTAGAGGGCTCAAAGGTAATTAACTTTAATAATACATACTTACAGGAAAACACACCAGTTGTGACATGTGGCTATAATCCCAGCCTTTGGAAGGCAGTCAGGAAGATGAAGAGATCAAGGCAGGCCAGTTTGGGATGCATAATGAATCCCTGTCTCAAAATAGACTAAGGGGTGGGGGGAGAGAGAGAGGAAAGGAAGGAGAGAAAGAGAGAGAAGAGGAAGGAGATGGCTTTATAAATATCTTGAATGAATGCTTGTAAAAGAATGTTTTCAAATTATAAAAACTAGGTATGAGTAGGGTGTATAGTACTTTCCTCTAATCTCACTATTTGGGAAACAGAGGCAGGGGGATCTCTATGAGTTCAAGGCTGTTTGGTCTACTTGAGTTCTCAGGCCAACCATGGCTATATAATAAGACCCTGTTGCAAAAATAAATAAATAAATAAATAAATAATCTGACATACTTAGTTTAGTAAGCTGCCATTAATATTTTGATTGAGGCAGATGTTCATAATGTAATGTTAACTATAGAAAGCTGATTTTAAACACTATGAGCCATTTTTATAAATCATATTTTACAAAATAAAAGGACAAACAATATTATCATTGATTAGTTTAACATAGCAGTTTATTTTTTTGTAAGCCTATTTCTTCTGCTTGCAATTTTTCAAGACAGGCTATCACTATGTAGCTGTGGCTGGCCTAGAACTTACTATGTAGGCCATCCTGGCTTCAAACTCAAAACTTTGTCTGCCTCTACCTTCTGATGGTTGGATTCAAGGCAAGGCATGCATCACTCAGCTAAGCCTAATCCTTTTTTTTTTTTTTAAATAGACTCCTTAAAGCCAGTCCCATTCTGTTTCCGCGATTGTATTCAAAGAAGCCAGTAACTGACCATAACTTAGGACATTATTCTTTGCTATCCATTGCCACATGAATCCCCTGTGTATTATCTGCTCAATACAGGAGCCATCGTCATCTAGCTTCATCCCTCACAAGGTTAAGAGAAAGGTGTTGGAAAGGAAGGCAAGTGTTCAACTGAGGCAGGAGTCTAGCTGTGATGCTCGTCTGTGTCAATGACTGATAGACACATCACCTTGAACAGTATGCATTGTCTAGATTTCCTCCTGAACACTGTCTGGAGAGAGATGGGGATTTTGTAGTTATGATTTAGTGATGGAGCGGAAGTGTCGAGGCAGCAGGAAGTGAGGTAGATGTGGAGGGCGGTGACATAGGGTGAGAATTGGCACATTCCGGTGCTAGCTTAGCAATCCAAAGGGGACAGTGGACACAGACAGCTGTGCGTGTGCACTCAGCACTGTGACTCAGCTTGCCACAAGTCTGCATACACCTTAAGAGGATGCTGTTCTTACCTTGACCTATGTCAAGGCCAACACAGTGCTGGGAATGCCTGACCTAAAGGATATAGAAAAAATTAGATTGTTCAATGCAAGACAAAAAAAAAAAAAAAAGAAAAGAAAAAATAAGGGTGTTGAACCTTACTCAAACTAAGGGGCTCAAGGATAAAGTACTAAGGAGTTTCAGACCTCAACTAAGTGAGCATCGGTTACTTAAAGATTGTCCCAGGGACCCGACAAAATAATAGAAACTGCCTGGAACTAGAAAAAGATAATTCAGCAGTGTTTTTCAGGGTTCTTATGTAAGCTGATTTTTTTCATAATCTCTTCATCTAAATAGTCAACAAAATCACCATCTTTATTTTATTACACTGTCCTAGATAATGAGTTCTCAAGAATATGGAATGTGCCTGTCATCAATGAGGTGTTCACAAAACCCACCCAATGCCTTTAATGACCTGAACTTTAAAACTATGGAATAAAGCCTGGAGAGATGCCTAAGAGATTAGGAGCACTGGCTGCTCTTCCAGAGGTCCTGAGTTCAATTCCCAACAACCATCTGTAATGAGATTTGGTGCCCTTTTCTGGTGTGCAGACATACGTGCAGGCAGAACACTGAATACATAATTAATAAATATTGTTATTTTGATTTAAAAACTGGAATAAATATGGAGGTGGGAGGTGTAGCTCAGTGGAAGAGCAGTAGGAAAACAGAATAAATATGATGTGATGGGCTCAATGATCAACTTAACAAATTCACGTGGAAACTCAGTGCAGCGTGTAGTGGGTGGGCGGGCTGTCATGTACTTCAGTGTGCTCTTGTTAGAAGTCGTTAGCATTTACTAGACACATCTGCCAGTTTGCAAGAACACACTACCTCAGAATATGCCTGTGTCTAGATGAACCATGCTGCCTTCCGTGGATTCTCGATTTCTTCAGGGTGTACCTTGAGAGCAGCTTTGTAAGCTACTGTTTCAGGAGTTAAAGTCAGGTAGAATCAAAATCGATCACTATTAATCAGTTCAGTTGTCAGTAGCTATTTGCCAGGACATGGTGGTGAACCTGTCATTAGTTAAACAGACTCTCGGCGTCATAGGTGGAATTAATAATGACCTAGCGTTATGGTACACGGCTAACATTATTCAAAGGCCTTTACATGGCTTGAGCATTGATATTTCAGGGACTTACATGACCCCCATCGTAAGGTTTTGTGGAGTTTGAGTGTAGCTTTAAGGAAGTGTCACTTTATGATAGGAGGCCAGGCCAGGTAACATGGGAGAAGGCGGGACTCCAAAAGTGAACTGCCATGTAGACTTGAGCGCCTCAGAGCTGACACTAGATTGTGATGCCTGTGCTTGTTTTGCTTTGTTTTTGAGATAGGGTCTCACTAGTTACCCTGGGTTAGACGAGATCACTCTGTGCAGCCCAGGCTGGCCTTGAACTTCAGAGATTCAGGTACCTTGCTGAAACTAAAAATGTGTGGCAACATGCATAGCCCAGATCCCAGTGTTTGTTTGTTTGTTTGTTTGTTTGTTTTGGGGGACCTATCCCTGGTTGTTCTAGAACTCGTTCTGTAGGTCAAGGCTAGCCTTGAACTCACCATGATCCTCCTGCCTCTACCTCCCAAGTGCTGGGGTTAAAGCTTTCAAACCTAGCAGTCTTAAAACGGGGAGAGGGCAGGATAAATTGACAATCCAACTACTGAATCAAAAATATGCCTAGCAGTAAGGACCGACTTCCTCATTCTGCCATGCAAACCCTTCATGGTCTTTCCCCTCATCCCTTTGATTGCGTCTCAGGCCCTGCCCTCTGCAAAACCATCTGTTTGAACATCGGTTCATCTGTAGACCAGCACACCCTCCCTTCTTACCCACACATCTCAGGTTCGGGTGCACATTGCCCATTATATAGAACCTTCTAGCTGAAATTACTTTCTGAGTCCTCTTTCTGTTTTTGATAGTCTGTTTTCCTTTTAAGTAAGCCTTCTTTTACAGTGACGCCTTATTTTCCCTATATTCCCAGCACAATACCATACTGGGTATTTGGGCTAGATGTTTGTTTGATAAATTCATAATGATTACCCAGGCAGTGGTGGCATGTACCTTTAATCCCAGCACTTATGAGGTAGAGACAGGCAGATTTCTGTAAGTTAGAGGCCACCCTGGTCTACAGAACAAGTTCCAAGACAGGCTCCAAAGCTTGAAACCCTTTCTCAAAAAATCCAAAAAAAAAAGGAATGATTTCATTGTTTTTCAGGTTTTAAACATGACACATCTTAATGCTTTAGCTCACTCTAAAACAGTTGACTGAAGCATCTTCTGTCTAAAGGCTTTGTCAGGAACATTCAAGCTCTCTTTAGCACGGCTTTTCTTACGTGGTATTATGGACATGTCCCACAGTTTTTCAGGCATCCCCATGAAGAGCTGTGCGAGTGACCTGTTTACTCTTCAGATTGTTTCCTCTCCTGGAGCTTTCTTTTGCACAAGCATGCCTGAGGCACTCACTCCCACATCTGAAATGTCTCTTCCCCTTTGCTCAGTCACCTTCCCATTCTGTGAACACACACACACACACACACACACACACACACACACACACATGTTCACAGGTGCTCACGTGTCCGCACACACGCACTGCATACACTTTTCCTAACTCCCACCCCCACCTCAAGACTGCACCCAAGGTGCCTGTGTGTGGCTGTTGTTAGCGCTGCTGGAGACATCCTCGGGGAGGACGGTGCTGCTGTCCAGATGCGCCTTCTGACAGCTGGCGGCTGCCCTGCTCTAGTCCTCAAAGCATCCTCTCACGTCTGTTTTTCCCTATAATGTCATTGAGGGAAATCTAAGAAATAAGGATCAGAGAGCATCTTCTCTGCTGTGTCTACACAACTGTGTAGATGATAAAACTGAGACACGACTTCAGCTGGGCACTGGGCTGGGTGGAAAGAAATGGACTCCAGGGTGGGAGAGAGGCCACTTGAATGTGCCCTGGGGAGTCTACCGCTAAAGAACTGGAGTGACGTGGTCTAGCCAGTAGAAGGATTAGGCAGAGAGAGGAGGAGCTGGCTTTGAGAGTATTAAAATTAAAGGCAGAAATTAGGTCCTGCCAGGCTAGAATCCACAAGCAGTCTTGACTCTTTTCTCGGGACGCAACCCCTTAGTGTGTCTCTGTCATGATGTGTGTCCCTTGTTTGCTCACGTGCTGCACATCTGATGTGTGCAGAGTAAAGAGCTAAAGCAGACAGCAGGGCCTCCAGTGAGCAGGGTTAAAGGCTTGAAAGATCTTCATAGCCTTCATATTTGTTTTATCTCTAAGGCCTAGTGATGCGTGTGATCTGATTAAAATTTAAAATTTTTTTTTGCAGTACTTAAAAGAATATACCATAACTGTAACATGACTTAGCAAGGGTGGGTAGGCAGCCTCTTGAAGTAGCCTTGTTAGAAGTAAAGATCTGGGGGTCTGAAGAGATGGCTCAGTGGTTAAGAGCATGGTTGCTCTTCTAGGGGACCTGGGTTCAATTCCACGCATCCATATGGAAGCTCACAGAACAGTGTAAAACTCCAGTTCCAGGTAATCTGACACCCTCACACTAATGCACATAAAAAAAAAGCTAAGTGAATTTTTTTGTTTTGGTTTTTTCTGAGACAGGGTTTCTCTGTGGCTTTGGAGCCTATCCTGAAACTCACTCTGTAGACCAGGCTGGCCTCGAACTCACAGAGATCCACCTGCCTGTGCCTCCCGGGTGCTGTGATCAAAGACGTGTGCCACCAACGCCTGGCTTAAGTGAATTTTATTTTTAAAAAGCAATGATCTGATTAAAAACTGACTTTAGCAGTGGAGAACTTTAAGATGTGTATTCGGGACTGTTGGTCCTTTCCTTTTGTTTGTGTTTGCTGTCCTGGGGGGTGGAGCAAGGGCCTGAGTTGCGCTAGGCATGTGCTTGGCCACTGGCTCCATCCCCAGCCACCTGTGCGCTGTACTGGACGGTAAAGAGTTTATATCCGGCTTTGGTCTAGGTCCTGGTTAGGTAGCAATGGGAAAAGTGCTGTTAAAAAGCTGAAGAACAGTTTGCCGCTCAGGAAGGAGCTGGATCGCCTGAAGAATGAGCTATCTGAGCTTCTGCAGCTTTCAGATATCAGGTAATGAAAAGTCTCCTACATGTCTTAGTTACTGTCATGGTGTCATAGATGACACCATGACCAAGGCAATCTGCAAAAGAAAACATCTAAGTTGGGGCTTGCTTACGGTTTCAGAGGCTGAGCCCATGGCCATGGGGTGGGGAGCATGACGGACGGACAGGCATGGTGCTGGAGCAGTAGCTGAGAGCTTAGATGTTGAGAAGACCATGAGGCAGAGAAAGGGGCCCTTGCCAGGAATGGCCTGGGCTTTTTAAACCTCAGAGCCTTTCCCCAATGTCACACCTCCTCCAGCAAGGCCATAATCCTAATCTTTCTCAAATAATTTACCAACTAGTGAGCGACCATTCAAACATCCCAGCCCATGGAGACCATTCTCATTGAGACGGCCACACCGGTACACACATTCAGATATGCAGGAATGGAAACAGCCCAGCTAGTAAAGTGCCTGCTTATTGCACACTGAGCCCCGGGCTTCATCCCAACACTACAAAACCTGGCGTGGTGGTGCAGACCTGTCTTCACGTCAGTAAGGAGGTAGAGTGATCAGTTGGAGTAATGAAAGTACAGGCAGTACTTAATGTTAACACTTCCTAGTAGGTTAGCATTTGGTTCTTTAAACGACAACCAATACTCTTCCATTATCGTTTTATGGAAATAGTCAGGTGACATTTGTATGAACACTGTTAGTATCCACATAGTAATGGCCTGTCCTTGGGGTTCTGACAGGATTTGTCCTCAGCTGCAGCCACTAAGAGCACCACCTGTGCACATTCACTGTGTTCCCTTTTAAAAGGGCCCCGCCACCCCCCATCTCCCTCTCCCTCCCCCTTTCTCGCTCTGCTTCTCTGCCTGTCTGTCTCTACCCCTAACACGCCTCTCTTTTCTCTCCTGCTGCTCCTGTCTCCAGAGGCTGGTCTCCCCTTCCAGTTCCCCTAATTAAAAAAAACAAAACAAAAAACCCTCTACTGGGCTGGAGAGATAGCTCAGTCGATAAAGGCAAGCCTCACAAATATATATGTATGTATGTATGTATGTATGTATGTATATATATGTGTATATATACATACATACATACACACACACACACACACACACACACACACACACACGGTGTCTTTCTCGCACTACTTCTTAAATTACAACTGTGATGAGTTTTTATTTAAAACACAGAAGTGAGATTTAGGTTCTTATATTTTGGCCATAACAGTTGAACTTCTTTTTACATTTATTTTTGTGTACACGTGCCACAGCACATGTATGGAGAACAGACGACACCCTGCAGAGTTAGTTCCCTTCTTCCCCTATGTGCATGTATGTGTGTTTCTGCACAATGCTGAGGACTGAGCCCAGATGCTCGCTCCAAGTGTATGTGCTATACCAAGCTCCATCCTCTTGCTTTAAAATAGAAACAATGTGTTTGCTTTTTAAAAATCATTGTATACATCAACATGGTAACAATTCTTTTACACACATTCCCCCACACCCCCACCCCCTCATCCTAGTCACACCATGACCAATAAAACTTGTTTTTTTTTCCCAAGCAGAGTTTGTCTGTGTAGCCCTGGAATACACTCTATAGATCAGGCAGGCCTCAAACTCAGAGATCTGCCTTGCTCTGCCTCCCATGTGCTATAGTACACACACACACACACACAGAGAGAGAGAGAGAGAGAGAGAGAGAGAGAGAGAGAGAGAGAGAGAGAGAGAGAGAGAGGAGAGAGAGAGAGCAATAAGGATAATAAGAATGATTTTTTTTTTAAGTTAAGAGCGACAATAACCTTAAAAACATAAGATCATTTGAAACATGTCTGTCTGCTTCAGGAAGAGGCTGTTGATGTCAAGAATAAGGCAGTTGGGGTGAGAGCCTGTTCATCCTCCATGGTGCTACTGTGTTGTGGTATTTTGTTTGTGATCTAGCAAATAAAGCTTGCCCTAAGATCAGAGTGCAAAGCTAGCCACACTAATTAGCCATAGAGGCCAGGCAGTGGGGCACATACCTTTAATCCCAGCATTTCGGAGAAAGAGGCAGGGATCTCCGTGAATTTAAGGCCACCCTGAGCTACATGAGATCGAATCTGTCTAAAAGAGAAACAGCTCACACAAAGGTGATCTCAGCACTTGAGGTCACACACCTTTAATCCCAGCACGAGGGAGGTGGAGACAGGAGTGATGTGGCTGGATGGAGAGGAATGTAAGGCAGGAGGAGATGAGAGAGAGATGCAGTCTGAGGACTCATAGAGACGGGCGCAGTCTGAAGCGGGCAGTCTTGAGGAAGCATCTGAGGACAGGATCAGCCCTTTGGTCTGAGTATTGGTAGAGGTAAGAACTCCATAGTGGCTGGCCTCTTTGCTTCTCTGATCTTTCAGCATATACCCCAATAGCTGACTCTGAGCTTTTACTATTAAGTCTAATTAGAATTCGTCCTACACTGCTGTTAATGTAGCTGTGTCTGTTGGCCTAGGTGGCAGAGGGGCTGGGGTGTTGCCCATCGCTGCAGCCAGCTGCACAGTCTTAGCCGCCTAGCACAGCAGAATTTGGAGCCACTTCAGAATGCGAAAGGTAACTGTTGTCCACTCTCTTGTTGTTTGTTTTTGTTTTATCAAGACAGGGTTTCTCTGTGTAGACTTGGCTGTTCTAGAACTCACTCTCTAGATCAGGCTGGCCTCGAACTCAGAGAGACCTTCCTACCTCTGTCTCCCTACCTCTGCTGGGATTAAAGGCGTGCACTACTACTACCCAGCTGTTCACTGTCTTTCAGAACATCTGTAGTACACATCTGTGAATTGTAACACAAAACTAAGGGACTTTATTAGAGTTAGATTTTTAAATCTGTGGGGGGAGGTGCAAGCCTTTAATCCCAGCACTCAGAAGGCAGAAGCAGGTGGATCTCTGTAAGTTTGAGAAACCCTATCTCAGAAAAAAAGTAAAAATAAAATAAATGTTTAAATCCTTTTTGAATAAAACAGAAACATGATGTAAGCTTCTAGGATCTACTAGATGATAACCCTGAGTGTAGACTCTAAGTTTAAGTAATTATTTGCAGTGTTATAAGGACGAATCCTCTGGGCCATGACCAAGGGTTTGTGTTTTATCATCAGGATGCACCATCGTATTCACAGACCGCTCCGGGATGAGTGCACTGGGCCATGTGATGCTGGGGACCATGGATGTCCACCATCACTGGACGAGAGTAAGGATGAGCCAGAAGCAAGCAGACCACTCTGACTTGCCTGCACACACTTTGATTTCAAACAGCACTATTACATCAGCAAACTATCCCGTCAGCACTGAGAAGCATAGCTCCAACCCAGTACTACCACACAACTGGTATTTCAAAGTGAAGATCGCTCCCTTTTACGTTTATTCATTTTGTGTGTGTGTGTGCCTGTGTGTGTACAGAAGTCAGAGGACAGGCTACAGTTCTCTTTCCCACACACTGGGTCTAGGGACTGAGTTCAGCTCGTCACACTTGAGTGAGCAGGGCCTTTACTCCCGTCTCACGGGCCCATGTGCGGCCCGTGTGCCAGCTTTAAACTCATACAAATAAAGCTGATATGAACATTTTTTATTGTTAAATTTTTAGATGTATTTAGTTATATGTGTTTTGTCTGCATGCATGTATGCATGTCTATGTACCACGTGTATGCCTAGTTCCTAAGGAGGTCAGAATAGGGCATAGGATCCCTGAAGCTGGAGTTATAGACAGTTGTGAGACACATGTAGGTGGTGGGAATCGAACCCAGCTCCTTTGCAAAAACAAGTGCTGTCTCTCCAGCCCTGATATGAACATTTTTGTTTAGTTTGGTTTAGTTTTTCTGTTTTTTGCTTGTTTGTTTGTTTAAGTCTCATTATGTAGCCCTGGCTGGACTAGAATTCAATGTATAAGTCAAACTAGACTAAAACTTGTAGCAATCCTCCGGCCTCAGCCTCTAACGTCACTATGCCTGGTTGATACAAACATGGGACTTGCATCTTTCATCTTATAGGTAAATTCCTAGATAGAATTGCCGAATCATTTCCTATCAAAAGGTAGTCATATTTTCAATTTTGATGAAAAATTTGAATTACGACACTCTAGTAGGTGTGAGGTGATATCTCACCTTAAGTTTAATTTCCATTAAATGATAAATGATGGTGATCATTTTTTCATGTTTTTACTTGCCATCTTCATGTTTGATGAAGTATCTATTCAAATAAAATACTTGGTAGAGGGACTGGAGAGATGGCTCGGTGGTTAAGGGCACTGGCTGCCTCTCCAGGGGATCCAAGTTCAAGTCCCAGCACCCATATGTCAGTTGACAACCATCTGTTCCTCCAGCCCCAGGGGATCCAATAGTACCAGGCAGTAATGTGTCATAGAGATATGCAGACAAAACGCCCATGAACATAAAATGGATCTTTAGCCAAGCTTAGTGGCACACACCTTTGATCGCAGCAGTCAGAAGGCTAAATCAGGCAGATCTCTGAGTTTAAAGGAGCCTGGTCTGCAGAGTGAGTTCCAGGACAGCCAGGGTTCCACAGAAAAACCCTGTCTTACAAAACCTAATTATTGTTATTATTTATTGTTATTATTTCAAGCCACATATTTAATAGGTATTTTGTACCTAATGTGTGTAAGAACTCTTAACACTCAGCAGTTTAAAAAAAAAAAAAATACCCAACCTAAATAGAAAATGTGCCAAAGGTGTCACTAAGAGAGTTCAGATGGCAAGTCTTCAGAGCTGAGTGCCTGCAGCCTGAGAGATGCTGGGTTCTAGCCCCACGCTGGGCAGAGCTGCTGAGTGAAAGTGGTGACACCACCAGGTGATGATGGGGATCTGGAGAACGGGTTCACTCCTGACCGCTGACCAGAGCCGGGATGTGCAGACCTGGCACAAGCAACATCTTAAACTGAATGTGCTGGCAGCAGGTCACTCCTGGGCATTTATAGTGGAAAATGCAAAGTTGTCTTCATGTAGAAATCTGTGCACAAGTATTCATAATAGCCAAGAGAGGAGGAAGTCCTAATGTCCTCCAGTGTGAGTGCTGCTCAGAAGCGGGAACGACCCGCTGAAGCGTGCACTGGCCTTGAGTGGGAGAGTCAGTAGCCAAAGGCGTTGTTCTGTACAGTCCCATGTCTGTGCCCTGTAACAGGGCATCAGGAGGCAGAGCAGCGCTGTGGCTGCCTACACATCGGGATCAGCAGTCCGGCTACGGAAAGGTCGTCGCAGACCCTGTGGTGGAACTCTGCTCAGTGCCGAATGGTGATGTGAAAAGACAATATGAAGCAACACACAAGGGTTGACAGAGTCCAGATGAAGTTAAGCAGCTCACATTCAGAAACTTGTATGGTCTTGCTATGATAGAAACCCAGCACATACTATATGAACCTGTAGTTCCCAAAGACCCTGAAAGTACTTACTTAGCACTGTATAAATAACCCAAGAAGAGGAGAATCGGGGAGCAGGATTATTATTTTTTTTTTTTTTGACAAAATGTAGTAAGTAGATGGTGGATGGTTCATGGAAACTTTAGTTATTACCTTCATTATAGACTACCTGATGCCTTCCAGTCCTCTTTCTTTTGTTGTTGTTGTTCTTTTGATTGTTTCTGTGGAGCCCTGGCTGTCCTGGAACTCCCTCTGTAGTCCAGGCTGGCCTCAAACTCAGAGAACCCCCGCCTCTGTCTCCTGAGTGCCGGGGTTAAAGGTGTGGCCACCACAGCCTGGCTAAAACCCTCTAGTCATCTTAACATTATGTAGATCCCAGCTTCCTACAGAAATCCAAAGTCCTCCCTCATCCCACTCACCAACACACGTGCCGTGCCGTGCACCAGCCACACTCAGCTTCCCGTTAGTTTTAGACATGGCCTTTTTTCTTTTCCAAAGCATCTCGCATTCATCTGCTATTTCTAAATCCTATACGTCTTGTGCAATCAGAAGTCTGGGCAGCCATTGTTTAAACCTGGCTGTGTCCTGTCAGCCTCCCGGGCACTCGAGCCCACAGCCTTGCTTATTTTCTTGCCCCTTGACTGTGAGCTCTAGCAAACTCAGACAGCCCTTACACCCGACACCCCGCACGTGCACTGCATTGCACACGCACACAGTAGGTGCTCAGTAATGCACTGTGTGCTTATCAACCGAATTTGAAGTTGGTTGACTGGAATTCTTAAGAGTTGGAATACACAAGTGTGCATTTAGTCGTCACAACCCAGCTTAAGATTCCTATGGGAGTCTTTAAATGTTAGCACCTGGGCTTGATCTTTACCCAGAGCTGTCAGAGCTGTTCTTGATCTGCAGCTCTTCTCACCTTCCATCTAAAACCCCTAGACTGATAGTTTGTTTTGAATATTAGTATTTACTGGATTACATTGTCTTTTTTTTTTTTTACTGTATCTTCCATCTATAAAAATAATTTTTAAATTTTTTTCATTAATTGGACTCCTAAAACCATAGTAACATAAAATTAAATATCTTTTTTTTTCAATACTATAGCTCTTTGAAAGCTTGCCAAGTTATTTTGACCTTCAGAGGAAGATGTCAGCCTTAGAAGACCAGATAAGCAGTCTTCTGGGGGGCATCCAGGTGGTTTATATCGAAGAGCTACAGCCAGCGTTCACAATTGAAGAGTACTACTCCCTCCTTGGCGTGTTCTATAATCAGCTGCTGAAAAGTCGGACACCATCCCCCCCTCTGAGTCTGAGTGGCTTGCAGATGATCCTCAGCAGGTAAATGTCTGGGACTGGATGTATAGATGTTTTACAGTACATTGACCTGCTTTTTGTTCCATTGCATGGTTCTTGTAAATTTAGTAACAGTAATAAGAGAACTGCATGGCTGGAGGAATGAATGGTTCAGTAGTTAAGAGTATGTGCTCTTTTGGCAGAGGATTCAAGTTCAGTCCCCACGACCCATGTCCGGCAGCTCACAACCACCTGTAATGCCGGATCCATAGGATCCAGAGCCTGTGACCTCCTCAGGCTCTGCACTCACATGCAAAGACAGACAGACACAGAGACCACACACACACACACACACACACACACACACACACACACACACACACACGGTACACACCTTTAATCCCAGTATTCGAGGCAGAAGAATAGGCTCAAGGCCAGCCTCAGCTAAAAATGCAACCCTGTCTCAAAAACAAAACAAAAGAATGTCACTGTCAAAAAAAAAAAAAAAAAGAATGTCACTGTCACTACTTGTGAAATGAATTGTATTCACACCCCTGTTCTGCATATGTCAAAAATTAAACTGAGAGACTGAAGAGTAATATAGTGGATCTCCACAACATTCTCTGAAAACATAGCCACTGATCAGCAAAGTGTCACTCAATCATGAGGTAAAGTCAGTAATGTACATAGGTGCTCATGCGCGCGCGCGTGCATGTGTGTGCATGTGTGTGCATGTGAGCGTGCGTGTGTGCGTGCACGCGTGTGCGTGCACAAATGTGTGTATGTGTGTGCTAGTCACTGCCATGTCACGGACAACAGTATGCCATCATCATTGTTGCTGTAATTTAATGTGGATTTTCTGATGACTACTTTTCAGTCACTTGAGATTTAAAAAAGCAAGGTCTGTGGAAGTGGTGATGTTTTCCTTAGTACACACTTTGTTTCAGTGACAGGTATGAGCCAAGCTTGCATGAACTCGGGCATTTTAACATCCCAGCCCTCTCAGATCCAGCCAGCCTCCAGTCTTTCCTGAGAACCAAAGCTCGGCAGGCAAGAGAAAACGTGGCAAGAAGGGAGGAGTAAGTACCGAGTGGGCCTGGCTCCACGCGGACCGTTACCTATCCACGCACAGCTGCTGTGCCTCTTGGTATCAGCAGGGACCCCTGAAGGTGGAGTTGTGGGCAGTTGTGAGCCACCATGTAGGTGCTGACATTTGAACTTGTGTCTCTGTAAGAATCTCAAGTGCTCACAGCTGCTCTAGCCCCATTATAGTTAAACTTTAAAATGTAACTAGTTCTAACAGGTCCTGTTTCTGTGTTGTTTATAACGGGATCACTTGACAGCCAGTGGTTTCCTCATCAAAGGTTTGAAGCTATAGAGTTGAGTCCATTGTAGAGGAGAAAGGGTAGGAATGGGTCCATATAAAGGGATGGACAGACAGATGGACAGCAGGTTCAGATGTGAGCAGGAAGGGAGAAACCGCTCAGGGCAGGGCACAGCCTGATCTCAACATCCTAGTAAAGATTTATACTCATAGTCTTTACTTTACTTAGTCACGGTTAGTGGCTAGGGGAGGTTTATGAAATCATGTACTATTGGGCTGAAGGGATGGCTCAGCTGTTAAGACCCCTGACTGCTCTTCCTCAGGACCATTTGTAACTGCAGTTCAGGAATCCAACACCCTATCCTGGTCTCTGAGGGCACCGAGCACACATGTGGTGCACAGATATCCATGCAGACAAAATGCCGATACACATTAAAAATAATAAATGTCTGGAAATTAGGAATAAAGTATGTGTTATTTTTACCTCACTAATGCTAAAAAGATTAAGTACGTTCAGAGTTTTATGTAGATGAATCAGCCAGTACTGGGCACAGGATAACTCTTGGCATATCTTTTTCCCATGACTGTCTTGTGTGGACACTATGTCATCACCCCAACATTTAAGAATATATATCTTATCTTAGTAATAGCTTGTGACAACTCTTTTTATTTAATAGGTTAAAAGTTATTGAAAACGAGTTGATTCAGGCTTCAACAAAGAAGTTTTCCCTGGAGAAGTTATATAAAGAGCCCAGCATTTCTAGTAAACAAATGGTAGACTGTTGTAAGAGACTTCTAGAACAGTCGCTGCCTTATCTACATGGGATGCACCTCTGTGTGTCACATTTTTATTCTGTCATGCAAGATGGAGACCTGTGCATCCCATGGAACTGGAAGAAAGGAGAAGCCATGAAGTAACACAGATAGCTGTTTTATTTTCTGGAGAAATGAGAAACTGTTGAATTTATTTAAATTCAGTTTGACATAGTATTAGTGTTCACATATTAGGACACAGTTCCTGACTGCTGCTCTAAAAGTGGGGTGAGCTTTTCTTTGTGGTGATTTTATGCTAAGAAATTTATCTCTCAAAAGTTTTACCCCATAGTTATATGATGCTGATGGCTAGGAAAAAAAGATGCTTAGAAAAAAAACTATTTTAAAGATATGTAATAGAGAGTTCTGTAAGTCATATATTTTTATATGAGTGGATGTGTGCACATAAAAATTGGCCTCATTCTGTGTAGCTCTTTCGTACTAGAACTGAACTCATTTTTTTATCCAACACAGTTCAACACATGTCTTCATGGTTACATCCCATAGACACACACTTTGTAGCCAGTAATGGACAGTTATGTTAAAATAGATGATTAATGAGTAGCAGAAATTAAATAACCATGTTTTGTTTGAGAAAGTTTTCTTTTGTTTTGGTTTTTTGGGTTTTTTTTTTTTTTTTTGTTCTTTTTCTTTTTTTTTTTGAGACAGGGTTTCTCTGTGTAACCCTGCCTGTCCTGACACTCACTCTGTAGACCAGGCTGGCCTAGAACTCACAGAGATCCTCCTGCCTCTGCCTCCTGAGTACTGCCGCCACCACCCATCGAGAAATATTTTTTTAAAAACCCTATTGAATGTATGCTATCAATACTATTTGATACTAGTTTATTAAAACATCAGTGACAGAGAGAGAGTTTAAATAAATGATTCCTTCTACCAATCAAAATTTCTGTAGAGCATGTGCTTGGCAGGCATAGGACCCAGGTTCCATTCCCAGTACCAAGAATGTGTAAGATGTATTATTGTCATTAACCCAGAAGCTCCTTTTAAAAGCTGTCTTCATTTCTTCAGCTCTGGTCCAGGTAAAGCCTCCTGTGATCTCTGATGTTTCCCACATAGCTGTCTACTCAGAGCAGACACACACACACATTCTACTCAGCATTTTTCCCCTAAGGAAGACCTCCTGGGTTTTTCCCACAGCGCATCAGAACAAAGGATATGTTACAATCAGTTTTTCATGTTTTGGATTTTTATAAAACATAAGTTATTTAAATAGTTCAATTGTATGTCCAAAATAAGAACTGAATTGTAAAAGAATTGTGCCATTATTGCTTTTTGCCCATGCTAATTTGACAAATGTTGCTGTAAATACTCTCTCCATAAAAAATTCCTCAAGTTGGATTTGGTGGCCCATGCCTTTAATCCCATCGCTTGGGAGGCAGAGGCAGGTGGATCCCTGTGAGTTCAAGCCTAGCCTGGTCCACAAAGTGAGTTCCAGGACAGACAGAGCTGTTACACAGAGAAACCCTGTCTCAGAGTGGGGGGTTAGGTTGGGAGGAGAGTTATCAAAGATATAAATTTATTTAAAAACTGTTTGATTGTGCCACTTGTAACATCAGCTAACAGAGTCCACTGTGATTTGTGTTGAATTGGATTTGTCTCCAAACTAATTGTTACATAATAAACAATACCTTGTTGACCGTATAACTGCTTTTCTTGTTTTCCAGTTGTTAGAGTTTCACAGCTAGGAGTTGTAGGAAATTGTTAGAAGTGATCTCAGGATGTATGTGCTCCCCCACCACAGGGGGGGGATAACTTTTAAAAGAGATGATTCTCCCCAACCATGTGGATCCTAGGGATCCAACTCATGTGCACGCTTCATGGCCAGTGCCTTTACCCACAGAGCTATCTTGCTAGTTCCAGAAATTCTTTCATAGTTATTAAGAGGAAGTTACATGTTCTTACTGTGGGGACAGGCGGCCCTCTCAGAGCAGTTGCTGTTAGAGTGTTTCTCACTGTGACTGGGGGCTCCAAATGGTCGGGGCTCAACTGTGAAGGGATGGGAATTCTGCTTTTATTTTTAAACTACTCATTTCCTTTGGAGAAGTGTTTTTCTTTGTTGGCACCTTGTAAACCACATCTGCATCCAATCAAGACTCAAGAAATCAGGTCCCTCATATCCCAAAGCCTTTAACATTCACAAGCCAATGCAAAGAGCTCACCAACGTACAGATTTCAGCATGATTTCAGAGTGCCTCCTGTGTCCTTATATCTTCCTAGCTGGGCATTATCACACCCGCTGTAAATGAGTGCTCCATCTCTGTGTACTCCTTTATTCCAGAAGGGGGCACCAGATCCCACCATAGATGCTTGTGAGCCGCCATGCGGTTGCTGGGAATTGAACTCAGGACCTCTGAAAGAGCAGTGAATGTTCTTAACCACTGAGCCATCTCTCCAGCCCCCATTTCCCTGATTTTATAAAAAGCTGTATTTGCAGGCAGCTGAAACCATCCTGGGCCAATGGGGCCAAGTGATACAGTGTGAAGTTGGCAGGGACCATTTTGCTCTTCCAGTGCTGGTCCGTGGCAGCCTTTGTAACCTCAGCTGCTAGCAGCAAGCAGTAACAGCGAGCGGGCATCTGCAACAGCAGGTAACAAGAACCAGGCCAGATTCCAGCCTTCACGCTTTTCCGTGTCCAGAGACTTCATCACTAGGTACAGGAAGCCGTGTTCAGGAGAAGCCTGGTGAGGCTCGAGAGATGGCTCCGTGGTTAAGAGCATTAGCTGCTCTTCAGAGAGACAGGGTTCAATTCCCAGCTCCTACATGGCTGTTTATAGCCTATAGATTCCAGAGGGTCTAACACCCTCTTTTTGGCTTTGTGAGACCTGGCACAGAGGTGCACACCACACACACACACACACACACACACACACACACACACACACACCATCCATGCAAGTTAATTAGAACATTTGTAAAACCTGTAAATCCAGCACTTGGGAGGCAGAGGCAGGTCGTGAACCAGGTGTACGCAGGAGCATGAAGAAAGACTGGGGAGACCAGCTGGCCGCTCTAACCCCAGCTCTGGCTCTCCATCCCCAGTCCCTCTGCCTGTTCCAACTAGTCCCTTCAGGCTCCTGTAAGATCTCAGCCTTAGACCTCTTGTTACCTTTTCAGGGTTCTGCCCCTAGTGAACTACTTCCTCCAGCTAGATGCCACCTGCTAAAGATTGCACTCCCTCCTAACTAGCACCAAGGGTGTGAGAGCAATCATTCAAAACCTGCACCCGCTCGGAACAACCCTACCCGCGCAAAGACCCCTTGCAACTGCAGCTCAGCTTCTTGGTGGCTCCCCAGAACCACGCGGGCTTTCAGTCCTAACCCCTGCCCCAGCTCGGCCCGAGGCTTTGCATGGTTCCTAGACTTTGCTTTGCCTTCCTTTCCACATCAGGCCACACTCTACTGAGCCTGCTCCCAACCTTCCGGGGTCCCGGAGTCCCGGGGCCCCAGTTACTCCTGAGTGCGCAGGACCAAATTAGCAAGCACCCTTTGGCCCCACTTTTAGGCCCTCGTGGAGCCTTGAACGAACTTTGACATAGGGACTTGTCCTAGGCTTGAGCCTAGGACAGTAGGGACACCATAGACAGTACGGGCACCTAGCCCGGATGCAAGCTTCAGCCCTTTTCCATTGCAAGTGCTGGCCGTGAAAGCGAGCGTGGTCTGCCTGTGCCGGGCTAACCGGTCCGTCCCACTCGCCCTGGCCAGTTCTTACCCCACTCAAGGCTCAAGCACCAGAATCGCGGTGGCCTGCAAAAAAATCTCAGATAGGTTTGTATTGGGTCTGAAAGCGTTTTTTGTTTTTGTTTTTTGGTTTTTTTTTCTTCGAGACAGGATCTCACTGTGTATCCTTGGCTGTTCTCAAACTCACTGTGTACGCCAGGCTGTAGCCTCCAACTTCAGATTCGCCTGCCTCCTCCCAAATGCTGGGATTAAGGGGTTGTACCATCATGACCAGATTCATTTTCTTAATTAATGATTGATATAGAAGGGTTCTGGGGTGTAAAGGAACACAAACAGGCCGGTAAGCAAGGTTCCTCCGTGGCCTCTGCTTCTGCTCATTTCTTCCAGGTCTCGGTAACAGAGTATGACCTAAGAGTTGTAAACAGAAATAAACTCTTTCCTCCCCAAGTTGCTTATGGCCATGGTGTCGATCAGAGCACTAAAAACCTAACTAATGAAGGGCCCAGACCCTCACCCAGGCCCGTGCTTTGGCAGCCATGACATGCTGCAGAAAAGACCCAGCAAGATGTAGGCCCCTGAATCAGCAGCATGTGCTGAGCCTCCGGCCTTGCCCTAATCACTAGGAAGCCAGACACCCTCCATGTGTCAAGGAACCAATCAAAAGTTAGCTGGCGAACTCTGGTTGTGCTTTACTGATTATCAGTGGAATGCAGAGTGTAGCGACCGCCCTAGGATGGCCTCTCTGCATAGCAACCTTTCTGCAGCTGCAGCTGACCAATCCACTCAGGACAGGTTGCCCAACCCAGAGGAGCATCAATTCTGAGCCTGTTGCTATGCAACTAGGGAACGCCCCAGACACTCCCCTTGCTCTACCCCAGTCTATGCCCTGCCCCACTGCTGCTCTGGGTCCCTCCTACCCCACCGGCCATGTCAGACCTGCGGAGGACGGAGTTAACTTCAGTTAACTAGTGAATTTGAAAGACTCTTTGCTTTTGTATTGGACCTGGTCTATTGGTGGTTTGGGGGAATGCAGAGTCTGGGCACAGCACTAAGACATGTGGATGTACTGAACACAGACGAACACAAACCTTTTCTTGTTGTGACTCCCTGGGCAGTGCATAGCCACTGCTCCAGCGTTTGTGTTATGGTTTAGAGATGGTGTTAAGTATGTGAGAAGATGAGGATACATTGCATGTAAATACTGTCCCATTTTATACCAGGGATGTGGACATCTGCTGACTCAGTGTCCGCTGGGCATCCTGGTGCCAATCCCAAAAGTAGTGAAGGGCAACTGTATACTAAGCATATGTCATCGATTTTTCTGACCCAGTTAAGATATCTATATATGTATGCTAACTTTTTCGATGGAAGGTAAATGGTTAAATTTCTGATATTTTCTGCACAGTACTAGTATAGTCTTTAAATAGGCTGGGCACCGTTCCTTAAGTTCATTTTATAAGAAGAGCAACAATGATTAAATGACCTTTGCTTGAAACCGTTTGGCAAGAAAAATAAGGCATGAAGAGAAGGCAAAAACAGAGTGGCAAGCCTCTAGGATTCAACAATTCTAAGAGCTGAAGCTGGAATTGAGGCTAACCTGGACTACATGGTGAGTTCAAGGCTACCCAGTAGTGCGCGCACATGTGCGCGCACACATACATACTATCAAATTGCTTTTGCTAAGTTTTCTAAGACACGATCACGTATAATCAGCAAAGGTATACATCAAAAGTGACCACACACTTGGAACCTGTGACTACGTTCCTTCCATGGCAGAAGGACTTCCAAGCAGGATTACATTTTGGACCTTACAAAGCAGAGATCTCCACGAATTCTCTAGGCCACTCAGTCTTATCATTTGAGCCCTAACGAGCAATTTTGCTCTGATTCTGAGATGCAAAAGCAGGGGTGAGGGAGACTTGTGACAGAGCAAGGCAGAGGGAGGTCCCTCCATTTTCTGAGGCCATTATAGCTGTTTAAGTAGAATCTTATCTCCTTGACGAAAAGTCCTGTGGAAAGTTACCCAACTCTGTTCCAGGAACCTGAGGTCAAGATGCCCCATCTAATTTATCTTGGCTTCTGTTAAGCTGCCTGCTTGTTGCAGGAACTCTCCAGCTAACTGCTTATCTTAGCTTTTGGTTAAAACTGCTTGCTTGTGCAAAACTTCCCCCCCTGCAGCTGCCAAGCAAAATAATAGGATGCGAGTTTTGCATTTAAAAAAAATCCCTTGCTCTAAATGCTAAGGCTACACTTGGGTCCCAGATATCTGCGTGTTGTCCCAGCCAGCTGGAATCAAGACTTTCAGTTGGCTGTAAAAACTGCCTGATTGGTCTTCCCTGGTGGGTTCCCCGTAATGGTCTATACAAGAGAAGGATTCGACTTGAACGTGGAAAGAAGGGGCTAAGTAGAAACCACAAGGAGGAGACAGCTCTCAGTAAAGTGAGGGAGGGCCAGCCATGCTGGCATGCAGTTGTGACTCAGCAATGAGGTGGAGGGCAGGAGGATCAGGAGTTCAAGACCTATAATAGTAAATAAATCAGCAGTTGTTATAGCAGCAGTAGGAAGCTCAGGAAGTATGTGAATGCTGCCCGGGGATAGGGGCAGGAAGGGCTGCAAGCCTAGGGACTCTGCAGAGAGCTTAGCAATGTTTCAGGGACCTCACCATGCTCTACCTGATGTGTCACCCAGGCTGACCAGCAGCACCATGACTCCTGCATTCTATGTGAGGCTCTGATTGCACAGGCACAGGCGCCCCCCCCATCCATTCCACCCCCACCCTCCCAAGCCTACAAGGCTGACCTGCAGGAATCCTGGGTTTGAAGCTCACCTGGTGGAAGGTTATGGGTAGCCACGTCTGTGCAGACGGCTTGCCAGGGTAGGGATAATGTTAGAAGCTGGGTGTTCCTAGTAACCTGGTCTTTGTTATGTGAAGCTTTCTATCCTGGCCAGGCCTGATTACCCCTGGGG